GTTTTTTTCCTTTAATTGCACCACGTGTTCATAGCATATATGTTATGTGTTCATACTATTTCTACGATAATCTCTCACTATGTGGCTTGTTCATGTTCATCACTCGTTCATACTGTGTTCATATTTCTACGATATTTCTAYGGTACTATTGTTCATGTTCATCACTCGTTCATAATGTTTTCATATTTCTACGATATTTCTACGGTACTATTGAACAAGGGGTGAACAAACATATAAGATCAGAAACATATATGAACAAGGGGTGAACCTTAAACGGTGTGGATGCAATGCATGTATAAAACTCCAATTGACAAAGTATCGCTCTTGAATGTGTTTATAATGAAGAAACTATTGTTCACAAGCTGTTCATATCGTGTTAATACCTGTTTTTTTATTTATTTTCTTTCGTATAACAGTTATTCTTATTATGTTCATATTGTGTTCATAAATGCTATGCAGTCCAAGATCATATGTATGTCAAATTTTTGTTCGTATTTGACACAATGATTCATATATATATATATATATTTGTGTTCATATAGTTCTTACATTAACAAAAAAATCATAGAATTTTTGATTTTGTAACTTCCAATTAATTAATGATATAGGAGTTGCATACATTTTTTTACCTAAATATCATTTTCAACATTGTTCACTTATCTTTATGTAATTTTAAATTAAAAAAAATAAGTTTTTATCATGATTAATCACAACCATTTATTAAAAGATTAAATGGTCAAAATCGATTAACAAAGTTAACACAAAAACTTTGGTTAACATTTGATATTAACCCTAACCTAGATATATATATTTATATGAAGATTACCGTTAAAGTTCTGTATAAGCTGTTAATTTGGCGAGGAAGAAATGATTTTGTAAGAAAAAGGAAAAATAATGGTTCTTATATAACCTCTGTTGGAGATGCTATTGCTTTTGAAATTGCATTATTTAGACCGTGACCCAGCTGATGGAGAGCGCCGCCGTGTTTTCAAACGCCACTACCGGTTGTCTTCTTCGTCGGAACGCCACTGATGGCAGTTATCTATCCTCACGTCGAAACCCTACTCTCCTTTCTTTTCTTCCTTTTAACAAGGTAAATGTATTTTCATTTATCGTAATTTCTTCTCATTATGTTTGTGTGTTTGTTTGTACCAATTCTTTACATATTTCTACAATGTCAAACCTTACATTTCAGCAAATGTACAAAGAAATCAGCAATTGCAAAATGAAGATTTAGCCTGTTTGATTTGTTAATTGTTTTTGCAACTGAAAATCCATTTTTCTTTATGGTGTATGGCTACGGCGGACCCAGATTCCAGATCGGTTGCGTTTTCCTTATCTAAAAACTGCATCTAGCAGTAGTAATGCGTCTGCTGTTCGAACGTCCTCAGCCGTCAGGTAGCACATTCCAGTTATTCTACCCAGCTCACTTTCTCTTTTCTTAATCCAGGTTGTCTTATATCTCCACTCATATAAATACACACTGTTAATCAACATATAAAGGAAATTAGTTTATAAAAGGTTATACTCGCGAAGGACGCAAAACTATCAAAATTCTCCGCAGTTGTCAAAATGGTATGAATAGATTCAGTTCATGAAGAAAACAAAAGGATTGGAGTCCTGTCAAGTACTTGTTCTGAATGAATTGTATAATATGATTATGAATCTTACCCTAGTTTTCTTATATCAACATGCATAGATTCATTGTTTATGAAGTTATAAGAAGATGTGGATTTGCTGCTCCATGTGAGACCTACAAAATCGTTCACATGATTATGATAAAAAAGATCGTTTTCTGGGTTGGTAACACACTCTTTTTTAATAAAGGGGACGGCACCACAAGAAAAAAACTAATTCAAGAAAAAAAAATTACATACAAAAGATGGGCATATCCATCCAAGCCACTAAGTCTCTCTAAGACATGATTTTGCAATTATCTTATGGCAAATTGGCAATAATGAATATGGATGGAAAACTTCATAACATGTTGACCATCCAAACCCTTTTTAAGGAATTATTGATGGTATCTTAGGTAGAAGATGTTTGTATCATCTAATGAATAGAATGAACTTGGTACAATTGAAGAATGTTGATAGGCCCCACTTAGAACAATGTATTCTAGCAAGGTGAACAAGGTCATACTTATAATGTTTGTATCATCTAATGAATAGAATGATGTATTCTACAATGATGTATTCTAGAAGTACCGAATTATTATTCCTTGTAATATCCATGCATCAACCACTTGCACTCCCTTTACCCAACCTATCATATTGACTTGCTGATTCTTAGGGTATAACATATGTCAAAAAGGTATGTTTGAGTATGCTTACGGGTGCCACTTTCTACCAAAAGAAAATATTATAAATTGCCTTACAATATTTCATTGGAATTGTTGCCTTAACTTATGGATGCAATTATCTCGCTCTTTCTAACGTTGTGTGTGCTTTCTTTTTGTGGGAGGGGTTGGGTGGTGTTGGAAGCTGTTGCCTTAACTTATTGGATGCAACTATCTCGCTCTTTCTAACATTGTGTGTGCTTTCTTTTTGTGAGAGGGGTTGGGTGGTGTCGGTTGTAAGAAATAAGAATACTTTCTAGCTGTTTTATTTGTATGTAGTAAGAATACTTTCTAGCTGTTTAAATGTTATTATACTTGTAAGCTTGTGTATTAATGAGTTTTCTTTAATTCAGCACTCGAAGTGAATCCGTTGATATCGATTGGGAAACACTTGGATTCGGGCTTGTGCATACCGATTATATGTATATCACGAAATGCTCCCAAGGTGGGAGTTTCTCCGAAGGTGAATTAGTGCCCTTTGGGTACATCGAGATTAGCCCCTCGGCCGGAGTCCTTAACTATGGACAGGTAAATTCTTGGGACTCTTATTTGTATGTGGAACATATAAATGTTGCACTAGAAGCTTTCTAAAGTGTCTTTGACAATACAAATGGTTTATAAACTTTTGTGAACATGTCACTTCATGTTATGAACATTGTGTCCGTTGGGGTTGGTGCATTATTGACTGCATGGTTATCATTAGCATTAAGTGTAGTTTTTTCTTTTATATTCAACATGCTATGGATGGATGGGAAGAATCGCATATTGGTGTTTCATTATGGTGTGATAGATTAATACTTAGAAGAATCTCATATCGGTGATTAATTCAGTGTGGTCATTGTTACGATTAAATATGGTATCTCTTTATTGCAATATGAGATGGACATGTTGGAAGGATATCTCTACACAGGGACTTGAGACTTGGAACATTTGGGTTTTTTTTAGTTTATTATTTATTTGTTCGATTGGGCCTATTTAACCTTACGGCACGAGCTGACGAGAGCCATGCACCACCTGAAATTTGTTTAGTTAATTTGAATGTTTTGGACTAAAAGTACAAAATTAAATGTCAAATGACTATATTGTAGATATATAATTTAGGGATGGTTTTTGTTATTTGCTATACATTATTACATGCATATTTGGAAGTTTTTGAATTTGTAGAATATATGTGAAATTGGAAGTAGATACCAAAGGCTAACTAAATTTATCTTTTACATTGTCTATTCAATTCTACAAACTAACTTTATTTTAATAGTTACAGACATACAACTGTAGATTAGTAACTTTTACATGTATTGCTAGATCAAACTAGATCAAACTGTACGATAAGTAGTTCAGCTTCAGAGATTAGTTGATGCAACCTAGGTATGCAAAGCTGAATGATTAACTGAAATCAAATGCTTACAATAGGAATTACGGCTTAAGGCTCTCCAAGGTCTTACGTATGGCAAAACTAATGCCCCTTACCCTATCCCTACTCCCTTATTTAAAATAAAACAAACGACATAAATGGAACATAATTTTCCTAATTAATTGGGACAACTACATTCCCTTATCCCGTGATTAGCTAGAATCAACCAGAGAACAGCTCAACCTTCCTAAACTGCAAGATTATTACCAGTCAATTAGTTAGGCTGCCCTTTCTTGCATAGGTGAATCTAATGGGTGGCTTATTAATACCCCGCCCCAAAAGTCTCACCTTGTCCTCAAGGTGAAAGCGTACTGGTCACCAATTGCATCATGGTCCTCCCAAGTTGTTCCAAAATCTCTCAATCCCTTCCACTTGATTAGTACTTCTAACTGACCCACTGTTCTGTCTTGCTTTACATCTAAAACCGCTTTAGGCTCTGCCTTGAACTCCATGCTGTCACTGAGCTGTGGAGCAGGCTGTGTAATGAGGCAGGCACTTGCTCCTATTGTGCACTGCAGTTGTGATACATGGAAAAATGGGTGGATGCTCGTTGTAGCTGGCAATTGTAGCCTGTATGCCACATGACCCACCTTTTCTATTATACGATATGGTCCCATACAACCTGGCTCCTAGCTTTTGGTTATGGATAGTAGCCAATGACTTTTGACGGTATGGCCTTGGTTTCAAGAAAACCAACTCTTGTATAATTCTCATCCTTCCTCCCTAGTGTTTCATGCGTTGTTGCGCCTTCGGTAGGTGCATCTTGACCTCGTCTAGGATCTCTTCTCTTTTCATTAGCATATGTTCCACGAGCTGAACTCTTATAGCCGCACCTTTGTATTTAGTGTCGGAGGGCCCCTCCCATATAAGACCTTAAAGGGAGTGCATTTGAGGGCAAAGTGGTACGAGGTGTTGTACCAATACTCGGCCTAAGACAGCCACTCCCCCCACTCTTTCGGCAGATCTAATGCCATGCACCTGAGTACTGCTTTAGTGTTCTGTTACCACCTCAGTTTGCCCGTCCATCTGGGGTTTATACGCCGTGCTGTAAATTAATTTTGTTCCTGTAATTTGAATACTCAGAAATAGATTGCCTCTATCCGTAACAATAGATTCTGCAATCTGATCACTTTGTTAATGAATATTTCTGCCACTGCTTTTGCTAACAAGGGTGTTTTAGCCCTAAGTCGCAACTTTTAACCATTTCCACCAGTTACCTATCTCATTCCCACTCAGATGACCTCAGCCGTAAAATGTTGATTAGGTACCATCTTCCCCTGCATTACCCCCAATAGGTGAATCATGAAATTCTTCAAAGAGACAGGCGACTTTCGGGAAACGACTAGGCTCCCTTTGTATAGTAACAACTCATTGTCATGGTGTGTGCCAATACCTGCCTTGATATCCTCTTTGATCTTCTACAACAACTGATCATCCATAACTTATTTCTTGATTATTTCCTACTGTCGCCATTGAGGTCCACCAATGACGAGCACTCTACTCTTGGTAATTTTCTACATTAGCGGCTTGGTTGCTACTCCCTGTTTGGTACACGATGTCTAATTCATACCCCAATAATTTGCTAATCCAATGCTGATATTCTGGTTCCACCACCCTTTGCTCCAGTATGTATTTCAAACTTTGCTGGTCCGTGTGTATGGTTAATTTTCTGCCAATTACGGTCGCCATCCCAGAATATCCAAAATTACAATCATTAACTCTTTTTCATACACCCATTTTTCTCGTGCTTGAGAGCTTAACACCTGCCTGAAATAGGCTATTGGACGTTTTTGCTGCATCAACACTGCTCCTAACCCAAACCTTGACGCCTTCATCTTGACAAAGAAAGCCTTTCTGAAATCGGGCAACCTCTAGATGGGCGCTGTTGATAGGGCTGTATTTAATTCCTGGAAAGGGGCCTTGGCTTGACTTCCCAACTTGTATTATTTTTTAACAGGTCATTCAAAGGACTTGCTATTCTACCATAGCCTGCCTGTAATAGCCAGAAAGTCCCAAAAAACCATGCAAGCTCAGTTACCGTTCGGGGAATTGGCTAGCCTTGCATAGTCTTCACCTTTGAGGGGTCCATCTCCACCTCTTTGCTTGACATGCTGTGCCCCAAACACACCACTTTTGGCTGTCCAAACTCACATTTTTCTTGGTTAGCATACAACCACCAATGTTTGAACAATACCTTAAACACATGCTGCAAGTGTTCAATGTGATCCTCCATATTCTTATTGTACATGAGGATGTCATAAAAAAATCAACAAAATTCAACACCTTTTTCATCAATCCTTGGAAAGTAAAAGGTGCATTAGTGTAGCAACCCTCGTCTCCGACTCTAAACCGAGACCGAGCGAAGGGTGTTATGTTAGGAGCACTTTTTCCATAACCATTCATATGTGAATACAGAAAATATATTTAAGGTAAAGCGGAAAAGGTTGAAGTCAAAACATAATTTTATTAGATATAAAACCATTTCGATTGATCGTAGTTAGAATACACAATGAAAGCTTCTAATACGCATATACTAAGACACAAATCTAATACCAAGACCAACTAATACAAACTGATACAAAAACTCGACTATGTCGCAGCTTTGGTAGCGCCCTTGAACTATCTACGTTTGCCTTCAAAGCATAGGATGATACTAACTCTCGAATACAATCTTAACTATTAAATTAAATTGCTTAGTGATTTCAAGCTTATGCATCAACTATCATGTACACATTTTACAGCCTCATAACAGAAAGTAAACATGCTAATATGTTCATGAAATTCACCATTTTAAAATCGGATTTCCACCGATTGGTGTCGCACCTTTCCGATATTATTTTGGTAGCATTGTCAAGGGATTGGGACCATTTTTACAGCTCCTAGCCATGGTTATACTGCCTTGATGATACATGGCACCATTGTCTATTAGCAATATTATCAGATGCCCTTCAATTGAGCCTTCTAGTTTCATTGTCTTAGGATTGGTAAGGCCCACCACCAAATTCAGCTGGACTTCTACCTTCTGGCGCACTTCCTCTGAATTATTTTTAGTATCTTCCTCATCGTCATTGTTTGTTTTGCAATCCCTGACCCTTTCACCATTTTGTACTACTGACACGTTAACCTCCTTTCTTTTGCATTATGCCGAGGGGCATACTTTTCATTGCAACAGTAGCACAACCCTTACGATTTCCTTTATTGCAATTCAACATCGGTCAACCTTCGGTATTCATTCCCCAATTCTTCTGGTGTTGAAGCTGTCTTAGTGCCTTGCATCAAAAAGCGCGAACAATCCACTTGCAGTTTTCTTCCCACCTCATGGGCTTTTACCTTTACTCACAACTTTATATTTTTTTCAATACGTAATGCTACCTCCATCGCCTCATCAAACTGACACGTACTCAAGAATACCTCTTCAGAAATACAGCAGTACGACCAATAACACAAATCGCTTTCTCTAGTCAGTAACGACATCCTGTTTTAGGGCTAGAAATCACTCACGTAGTGTACCTTCTGCCATTGACCAAAATTGTTTGAGAATTATCTGCTAAAACTCTTCCTAATAGGTTAATGGTCGACTCCCGCTCAGTGGTCTCACTCGAGTGATGCCATGGGTCATCAGCCCCTTGCATGCAAGGAAGTGGCAGGGGAAGAAGGTGACTCCATATGTGATGGAATTGGAAAGTGGTAAGTGGTATGGATTTGTCTTATAAGTTGTCAAGTTGCTGTTACGGAACATGTCACCCTCAAAGGCGATCAATGCGACCTTGATTTGTTCCTCCCTTCTAAGACAATTGAGGGTGCAACACCTTTTTTGCACATAGTATCCAACCATCCGAGTCTATAGCATCCAACCGTAGGAATTTCTAGTCTTCTTCCCTTATAGAAAAGAGTCGGTTTACCTTTGATGTGCCCCTTCTTTACTCCCAGTCATTGCCTTTCCGTCGTCATCGTGGTGTACCTTCGGTTTGGTTCACATATAGGAGGGAAAATTAGTGTGATTCCTTATTTTATAGTTCTGAATAAGACCTTAGGGGTATTTTTTAGGTTTTCCTTTTGTCTTGTGTGTAAGAGCCTTTTTTGTGGGCAGGGAGTTTCCTGTTTTGTTTCATTC